TTGGTTAGTAATTAGGTGGAAGGGAGAAGAAAAGAGGCATTCCAAAAAAATGCAAAGGCCTGAAATGAGGGAGACATAGCCTGTCCAAGGGTCTGCCAGTACCACATGGTCAAAACAGCATATATTAGATATAGAGGAAAATGAGGCTGAGAGGGCAGGCAAGGCCTACCATAGAACTGAGAGGCACTCAGATTCAAAGGAATGGCACAGTGGAAATGCCTATTCGTGTAAGTAAGGAGCAGAAGAGATTGGAAGTTAGAGGAGGGGCAGAAAAACAGGCTATTGTGTAGGTTCTTGACTTGGGCATCTATATTTGTTTGCTAGGCTGCCATAACAGTGTCACAGACTGGATGGCTTAAACAATAGAAATTTATTTCCTAACAATTCTTGAGGCTAGAAATCTGAGATTAAGATATTAGCATTGATTTCTTCTAAGGCCTCTCTCCTTGGCTTGTAGATGGCCACCTTCCGGTGTTTCGCATGGTCTTCCCTTTCTGCGTCTGTGTCCTAATCTCTTATAAGTGACTTCATTTTAGTTTAGTTACCTCTGAAAAGATCCTGTCTCTAAATACAGTCACATTCTGTGGGTTAGGACTTCAACCTATAGATTTAGAGGGGACACAGTTCAGCCATAAGAGTCCGTGGAAGGGCTTTAGGGTCTTTGTGAGCCCTGAAGTTTGAATGCTGAATTTCGCACTAGTGTGCTTTTGTTTGAGGCATGTCCACAACATTCTGATGATTCCCAAAGGGATCCATGATCCCTGCAATTGGCTAGTTCATCAGCTAACTCAGGAGGGAGTTAAAGCTGTAGGATGAAGGCCTAGAAATACCATATGCATCAATAAATATGATTTGGTGTTCAATAGTATATAAAAAATGAGAGTCGAAGCTGACTATAAGACTGCAAGTCTTATGAAATTCTGTCCCCCAATTCTGTAAATTGGGGTGCAGGGGGGTCTTATTTGAGGACCTTATTTGAATTTCATGGCAAATTGTGTAATTTCCATGATTGTCCCCCCAAAAAAACTTAGTTATGGTAATTTTCCATAACTAAGTGGATTCACTGAAACTAACCTTCTGCTTAGTATGTCTTTGCTAATATTTTCCTAAAAAGAAAGTCACAGAGCTACAAAACTGTCACCAGCTGCTTCTTATTAGTAATGTGGTTAGCAGATGTGGGGTTTCATAGTCATAAAGCATGAGATAGTTAATCCATTTTTGTGGGTTTCAGATGGATAGTGATTTATCTTGGGATTAATTTTAAAATGTGCTTGCATCAGCTAAAAGACATATGCACCTTTCTTTCCCTCTTTCACTTTGTTTCTGCTGGAAAGAAGAATACATTTTAGGATGTTTCTCCTGGAAGGCAAAAGAGTATTGCCCATCGAAAAGGACGGTTGATCTCACTGTCTTCTAACTGGAGAAGAGTTAAGCGTGGATAATTTTTCAAAGTTGAATGTTTGGTTATCTTACAAACTTATTTCTCCCTTTGACCTCTTTCGTAGTAATTAAGCAGCTCTCGCTTTTGTTCCACTGGCATCAGGCTGTTTTGTGGTAGTGACCAGGCTTGCTAAGGGCTCCAATTTGGCCTGGGGCTCTTTTTCTTTATGAAATTAACACTTAAACCTTGGAATGAGCCCCAGATCTACTAATTCTTTCCTTTGACGGACTCTTGGTGATATGTACTCACTTTCAGCAGAAGTGTAGCTTTATACAAGATCTCTTTGTCACCAAAATTAATTTGGTCATTTGTCCTCTAAGCCTGGAATCAAATGATATCATGGCAGACTCATTCCTAGATAACCATCAAAGGTTTTGTTGTTGCTGTTGAAGCTGAAGGTCAATAGGTAATAATAATAGCAGTGGGTACTTTTTATGGAACTCTTATAGTGTGGCAGGTACATTGCTGCTAAGTACTTTGCATACGTCACTCCGGTCAACCATCCTCAGATGTAGAAGGTATCTGAATTTCTCCAAATAAGAAACTGAGGCCTATGACCTCAGCCCCTTCATCATTGTCCTATAGCTAGTAAGTGGCTGAACTGCAATTTGAACCTTGTGCTCTTAATTACCATGCTAAATTATGCATCTACTATGAGGGAAAAGGAAAAAACACCCCTGGGTTTTGAGAGGGCATAGAATCAGAGCCTGAGTCATAGAATTATAGGAAATTCTAGAACTGAAGAGAGCTAATTTAACCCTCTAATTTTAAAGCAGCAAAGATCCTTTCCTTGTTCTGAGAAATAGTAAGATAATAGCTTCAGCAGAGGAGAATATATATTGATGGGTGACAAGAGTGGAAGGTTATTAGGAATTATTTCCACCATTTCCTTTTTTAGAGGTAGATTAACACACCTGTTCAAAAATTATCTAAGCTTGTCTCAGCATCCCTAAAGAAGCTATGGAAACAGATGTGTACTCTTTTTATTTCAGATTTCATTATCCACCATAAGTTGATTTCCACTGAGTAATTGAGATTTCTAAGATGGTAATTTTCACTCTGCAAGGAACCAATAACCTTCCGAGGGATTATTTGAAATGACTACTGTGCAGGAGGTACTGAATTTCAATCAATCTTATGTTTAATGAGTTCCTGTTCTGCAAGGCAATATTTTTGGAATAGTGGGGAAGAAGAAGTCGGGTGGTCTCTGCCCTTCTATATTTTAAAATCTATTTGGACAAGACAGCCAGTCATAAAACAAAATTATTTAAAGGAAAAATCCCAACAAATTGGGTAGGGAAAATGGGGATAAGATCTTACTAGGTGGAAAAGTGGTTGAAAGGGGCAGGAGGTGTGTAAAAGGATGAACTCGGGGATTTGCAAGGCATCACTGGGAGACACTGGATGAGTTTGGCTGATCTGAAAATAGTAATGAAAGAGATTGTTGAAAATTGATTTCAGTTCTGATGGAGAACCTTGTAAAAACAGCTTGTCAACTGGGAATTTTTGTGGATATATTTTAAAACTACTTAGTAAAAAAACCCCAACTAATCCAAATCTTCATTATCTTCTCTCAGGGTTAAATATTTTGTTACATAACTTACTGTCTTACCTAAGTGCCCTCATTTACTATTTGGTTGAAAGATCTATAACTTCCTCCAACCCTATTGACCGAAAGGTCTTGAAACTTTTAGAATTTCCAGCATTTCTCTAACTAATAAAGGTGTCCTCATATGCCCAACCTCTGGGTGATTACATATGTAAAAGTGTTCAAAGTAGTGCTCATACTCTAAGGAATCAGCTGCCAAGTGCTCTCTAATAAGCAGAAATTTCACATAACGCAGGCCTTGGGGGCTTATGCCTCAGCTGGAGCAAAGCCAGAAATGTCCATGACTGAAGGTGCACTTGGGCACATTGGGACCAGCTGGAACAGTGAGCTGGCCTCCCTGCAAATTGATTAGGAGAGGGCTGAAGGGTTGAGCTTCTGCTGACATATGCAACTTGGAAAATCCTGCTCTACTAATTGCAGAGAGGATTCTGCTGTAATGATTTTTTTGGGTAAGATACTTTTCTCATTTTGAATTTTTTCTTCATTTGGGCTCTGGCTGCTTTCCAGTTTCTATTTTTATTGTTTAAACTCCTGGTATAGGAAGTTTTGCTTACACATGAATGTGTGTTCATAGAGTGGTGCATCAGACATGGCTTACGAGCTTCAACATGTACTTCGTGAGCAAGCAGGTATACAGCCCCGTTTACAGGAATTGGTGCACACTTCCTCTACTTGCAGCCCCCTAACCCGTGCCTTGCCAATGAAAACATGAGGTTTTCACTTTTACTGATGAAGTCAAGTCAGAGGTCACCTTGACGTTATATTTTTGCTGAGATCTCTCTCAACAGTGTGATTTCTGGACCCTCATTTTTGAAGTCAGATATGTAGTAAAGAAAAGCACTGAACCAGGAGCTAAGAGATCTGAGTTTTCTCTGTTTCCTTACTGTGGACTTTGGGCCAGAGTCTTTGGCTCTCTGGACCCCAGTTTCCTCAGCTCTTCCAGCCCATGAAGCTAGAGGAAGCAGGTAGATTGCATCACCCATATTTTCTGATAAAAGCCATTGCAGGCTCTGCAGAGTGCATGCAATTTCTGGAGCCTCCCATCTATATACTTGGTCCAACAAAATGCCTCCAGGATAAGAAAGTCAGATCTGCAAAACCAAGTCCAAACTCTTTGATATTTGATTTTTTGAGGCTTTTCACACTCATATCCTGCTGCCTCCACTGATCTTGTGCTCTGTTCACATTGGCATTATGGAATTCTTCCTAAGTAACCATCATTCTGCAAGTAACTCTGAGTCCTATACCAATCATACTTGCAAGGACTGAAGAAGCTATGATCCCCTCTCGCATTACAGCAAGTAAACAGGTGACTACAAAGCAGATTCATGTCTCTGGACCTTTGTTTATGCAGTTCCCTCTGCTCCACCTACCTATTCGCCTTCTATTGTGATCTCTGTGAAGCTGACCCCAGGCCCAACAGAATGTTGCTTCTACTCTGCTCTCAGGGCGTTTTCTGTGTGTCATTTAACCACATAGTATCACACCAGGTTGGTTGGATCTTCCTTTTTCTTCTCTACCAGACCGCTAGCTATCAGCTGCGGTACATTTTACTCAGCTCCTCTCCAGGCCTCAAAAAGAGCACAGCGGCAGAGCCCTAAGTAGATCCGAATGAACCAATCAATGCAAGAATGAACGTGCAACTCAGTCTTGCAGTCTTGCAAAGTGCTTCTCGAAGCTGATCTTGCTTGCCGTGCCCACGCAGCTCCCGGTAACTGCACGGTACAGGTCGGAAGTTTGTATGTGGGGCGGGGGGACCCGTCGGTAGCGAACATAAGGAGAACGTGAGATGGACCCCCACGGCGATCCTGCTGCCCACGTCCGGTGAGCTGCAAAGGAGTGGACTGCGGGCAACTCCTTAACCTCCCGGAAGCGGCTCCTCTCCCCGCCCCCCAGGTGGGCGTAGCCTCATGAATAATAAATCACCGCGTGGGGAGGGGCCGGGCCCGCCCCCTCGGGCGGGAAGAGGGAAGCGCTGAAGCTGCCTGACTGGAATGAGGGTAGCTGCGGCAACTGCGGCGGCGGGAGCGGGGCCGGCCATGGCGGTGTGGACGCGGGCCACCAAAGCGGGGCTGGTGGAGCTACTCCTAAGGGAGCGCTGGGTCCGGGTGGTGGCCGAACTGAGCGGGGAGAGCCTGAGTCTGACGGGCGACGCCGCGGCGGCTGAGGCCGAGCCCGCTCTGGGGCCGGCGGCGGCCGCTTTCAACGGGCAACTGCGGCGGCGGGAGCGGGGCCGGCCATGGCGGTGTGGACGCGGGCCACCAAAGCGGGGCTGGTGGAGCTACTCCTAAGGGAGCGCTGGGTCCGGGTGGTGGCCGAACTGAGCGGGGAGAGCCTGAGTCTGACGGGCGACGCCGCGGCGGCTGAGGCCGAGCCCGCTCTGGGGCCGGCGGCGGCCGCTTTCAACGGGGCAAGGCGGCCGCGAGAACCGGATGCCGATCCTCATCTCCAAGATCTTCCCGGGTCTGGCGGCGGACCAGAGCCGGGCACTGCGGCTGGGC